ACTTATTGTGTTTCTATTGACTTATTTATTATTATCATCCTATTTGTTTATCAAGTATTCTACTTATTCTATTATTTGCTTTGTATAATTTATTAACTTTATCTGGTTATTTAGTTTGCATTTTATACAAGAGTAATAAGTCAAATCTTATCAATTATTAATTTAACATCTTGCAAAAACCTTCTGTTAGATCTTGGAAATGAAACGAACCTGTCATTGTCCCTGCTCTTAAAGAACTTAGTGCACACCAGTCTACTGAGACATCAGCAAAATCTGTATGTCCCATGTTACCTCACTTTGGAAGCCTCAGTTCCAAATATGAGTGGAAGAGAAGGCAAAGGAGGCTCCTAGTTAGGGGCTGAAGGAAGAAATTTTAAAGTCTGACTCTCACTACATCATAACCAGGGCACAGGTATTTGTTCTTAATGTGCTACAGGACTTCCTTGGATGTTAGCAGAGTTATTGTTTACATAAAATTTCATTGTTCTTTTTATTATTGTAATATTGTAATTTATAATATTATATGTATTATTATCTTCCATGCGTGATTTTTAAAGTATATAAATTCACGAGGAATAAAAAAAGAACTTAGTGCATAATTTTTGCAGTATTTTACATAATCATAGCAAGAATTCTCTTCTGTACTTTTCACAATGTGGAGAAACTGTCAGAAAAATAATTAACATCTTTTTCCCACTGAGAAACAATAGGGAGAGTAGTCACTGTTCAAGGGTTGACCTCGATGCAATCTCTGGGTCCCAGATGGCTGGCTTATTATCAACCCTTGCTTACAAACAGCTGCCCTAGTTAGAGACCCAGTTTCCATGGAGCTTGGCCCTGGGAGCTCACCTCGACAGGCCACTGCCTACTTGTACACCTTCTGTCACAGACTTGCAGCCGCATCCTGCTACCTAGCGATACAACCCAGATTCTCTCCCAGTTTCGCTGCAGAGGTTTTGTGCTGCTAAAACCAACAACCCCATCTGTCATCTGCTGTCAAAGACTGTGCCACCTCCATCAGACCCAATTGCCCAAATTCCAAAAAGTTAGCATGGCATCATGCTTAAAAAAAAAAAAAATCTTGAAGTCATAGTTTTGTATATTCAGCTTCCCACTGGTTATCTGGCCATTTACTGGCTCTGTGAACTTGAGAAAGTGACTTAACATCCCTGTATCTCCTTTTCCTCAGATATAAAATGAAGATACTAGTTCCTCCTTTATAGAATTATCATAAGGATTAAATAAGTTATAAGACCAGGAGTAACGCCTGGCATAGAGTAAGGTGGGAAATGTGTTAAATAAAAACATTTATAAAGCACTTTTCAAAGATGCAGACAAAAGGAAAACAATTAGTATGCTATTATATTTGTGTGATGCCGCAGTCTGGCTGGGCACAAATGCCGCAGTCTGGCTGGGCACACAATCACGAGCCACCACACAGCTTGTAGATTCAAACAGCAACTCTTTATTCCCGAACTCACACCAGCCGTCTACAATCACGTTCTGGGGAAATCCACGTTCTCTGCCCAAATCCACCTCCACTGGGCATCTATCTCCAAAATATACTGTCTGAATCCCGTGAGAACTCAAGGGGAACTCAGGCAGCAGGATACGCCCTATTCCCAGCAGGAATAATCTTAAACCTTAAACCTGGAACCTAAACCGGGAACGCCCTAATCCGCCTTGGTCCTTGAGCAAGGTCACCTACATTCAATGTCACTGCAACATGGGGTACGCTGGCAAGGAAATTGTCATACCTACTTGGCTAATGGCTCCCAGCAGTGTGATATTAAAAAGATCTTGCAACTTTATGACATGATTCAAATGGACACTGGGAAAGCCTGGAGCAGGATCCTGGAGGTGCCAGTTTAGTTACTGGATAAGTGGGAAGGGAGAAGGTCTTGGGCAAGGCCAGCTGCCACAGTTGAGGACATTCAGGGGGCTCTAGGCAGTGACTACTTAGCCTTGTGAGTTATTGGTATTTTAATGATCTGTACCAGTCCCTTTGTAGTTCTGGATTTAACTTTGTACAATTTAAAGAAGGGTATTTCTTCTTCCTGGGCACCTGGCTTGGGGAGGGGACTGTGGTCTGGCCACCCTGGTGTAAGGCATAACCTCTCCATGCTTTATAGTTAAACTTTTATAATAACAGATTCTCAACTGGAAGTGGGGTGGGGTGGGGAGTGCATGTCAGAATTTATGGTGGGTCTGGCTTACTATTTGTCATTGTTGCTTTATAACATTACCAAGGCAGTTTGTCCATGTTAGTATAGAGGGCTTTCTTGCTTAAGTACAGAGGATGGCCAACATTTTGGTCTAAATTATCTCAGGAAAACTAGTCTATAATTTGTTCCCCCCACCTCCAATTGATTATTTGAATCTCATTTAAAAATTTAATAGATAAAGTTTAGCAAAATTTATATTTATTATGCTAGTATACCTATTATAATATATATATTATATATATATATATATATATATATATATATATATATATATATATATATATAAAATATATTATTATGTTTATTCTAAGTATGGTACAGAGTGGAGTGACCTGAGTTTATTTTGTTTATTTTTGCACATAAGTGTTTCAATGATTAATCATTTAACTTCCTTTTAGTCTTTAGGGGCAGTTTCAAGTTGTTTTCTGGTAAGAACCTGGCTCACATCATTCATTCAGCTCTGAATCTGATACTGTGCCAGGTGCTGAGGATTCAGAGATGATAGAAATATGCCCTGCCCTCAAGAGTTTATAGTTGGCCAGATCATGAGACAAATGGCTGAACGCGATTGCCACAGAGTGGGGATATTTGTGGTCATAGGTGCTGCCCAGTGTGTGATCTGAGAGGAGGGACCCCAAGAGAATGAATGCTTGCTGCCACCAGCCTATTACATAGAATATGCACATATGCAACTTTGTTAGGAAAAACCTAACAACTTTTCAAAGTGATCGTGTTTACAACCCCACAAGAGTGTTAAAGAGTTTCATTGTTGGGCTGGGGTTGTGGCTCAGTGGTAGAACACTTGCCTCATATATGTGAGAAACTGGGTTTGATTCTCAACACCACATATAAATAAATGAATAAAATAAAGCTTCATCAACAACCAATATATATATATATATATATATATATATGTTTCATTGTTCCACAGCCTCATCAACATTTGCTACATAAGGCTTTTTGATATTTGCCACGTTGCAGAGTTTGAAATGGAATTTCATTTTGATTTATCTACCTATCTTTTTCTCTCTGTGCTGAGCTCCAGATAATTTCTTCAGTATACCTTACAACTTATTAATTCTCTCTCCCACTGTGTGTGATGTAGTGTGGAATCTAAGCATTAAGATTTTAAATTTAATTTCTTATCTTCTTTATAGTTAGAAATTTACATTTGGTTCTTTTGAGAAAAATCTGCTGAGTCACTCTAATTTTTTTGGGATTCTGCTCCTGCTTTCAAGGTTTTCTTTTATTTAATTTAAGTATATTCATTTGTTTTAATTCTCTATATTTTAGAATTGTTTCTGTTGGTGCTTCCTTATGGCATCTTGATTCTCCATGTTTTGTGATTTTTGATTAACAACAGCTAATTATCCTGAGGATTTTATTTGTGAGAATACTTTGAGGTCTGGAATGATGATGAGTTTTTCCAAAGAGAATTTATCTCTGTGAGGCTCCCTGGACCCCTTAAAATAAATTCTCAGCTTAAAATTATTTTGGAACAGCCAGATAGTGTGAATTTTGGCTTGCTAATCTCAGAGGTCATTTTTCCCTCTTCTCTTTACTTCAGCAGTTGAGACAAAACAAAACAAAACAAAACCCCCTTGCAATTCCTGGGACATGAGGTGAGTTATTTCTAGGTCATGCTTACAACTGATTGCATGGCCCAGTGGGGCTTGAGCCTGCAGGGAGGGTCTCTGTTTATAAATACTTCCTGCTTTATCTTTTGTTTTTCTTACTCTGTGGGGTTCTAAAAACTGAAGTCCAGGTAAAAGCTTCAGCATATGTAAGGATTTATTTACATTTGGAAGCATTACCGGAACCAATGGAGAGAGGATTGGATGATAGGTAGCGAAGAGGCAGGTAGATGGCCTCAGAATTTGGACAATTACTAAATGCATTTTTTTTAAAGTGGAAATTTCTTTGACATTGTAATGTACTTATTTCATGTAATCTGTTGGGGAACATGATTAGGCATTTTGACTCTAGGGGTCCCTGGCTGAGACTGTATCAGAAAACTATAAATGTAATTTGAGAATAATTACATACTCAATGACACCATCACCTTTTCAGCTTAGTATTTCCACATGGAACCTGTAATCGAAATTTCCTGAATGGATTACAGTATAGATAATTCATCCAGAGAGGACTCAAGTCTCAACTAAGTATCTAGGGGTAACATTTGATCTGAGGAATTATGCTCTCAGTTCATCTAACATATTTCCCTTTAGTAGGGATGAATCCATGGGTCAAGAGAGTTATAAACATCCATCTTGACCTTGTAAGGCAAGTGGGTGGTGCCATTAACTATGGCTTTAACCTTTCTTACTTTTAGAATATTGTTTGCATATATATCCATAAGGAAAATGACATTTGAAAATTAATTAATTGAATCAAATAACTGAATTAATTAATTAGGTATAAATATTGAATATTAAAAAAGAGATAGCAGTTGAGTGTCCTACCAGTGTACGTTATAAAAATTTGTTTAATCTTTACATTAGTCATTTGAAAGAAGTACCTTCTTTATTCCCATTTATAGATGAAGAATCTGAAATGTGTATATTTTAGTCTTCTTATATCAAGTATGGCACATTAAGGATTTAAATGGAGGTATTTTTAATATCTTCTGAAATTGTCTGATTCAGAATTATTGGGAAAGGCTCACAAAATTCTAGATAGAAATCAGTTAACTATGTTTTAAAGTATTCATGTAGATTCAAAGCTGTTCAGTGCTCATATAAAAACTTTCTAAAGACAAGACAAGGTCATCGGTAATAACTTGCTGAAGGAAGAAGGTTTATTGAATACAAGGAATCCATAACAGATTTCTGTAGGGTCATCAAGGTAGTCAAATGAGTCGTCATATTTGGACGTGACGTTCTTCCAGATGAATGGGGAGATACCTGTTGATTGCCCAAATAGAGAAAGGGACAGAAAGACAAGAGGACAGGCGTTTCTTAGGCTTGCTCATTTTCCCAGATTATATAATGCCTTTTCTTCTGTGCTGGTCTTTGGCATATGTTCTCTATTAATTGCTTTGAGATTTTTCTTCCAGGGAGTGGAGCCTGGTGGTTAGGATTTTGCTGCGTTGATCGACCTCCTCAAGAACTTTCTTAACCACAATGGCTTTGGCTGGATCTAGAAATTAAAATTTAAAAGGAGATTTTAGAGAGTTATCAATTAAAAGACTAATAGGATTTTTATACAGGATGGACTATGCAGTCAGTGCAAAAATTTAAAGACTAATTTTTGGTGAATTTTGATTACTTGGATAGGTAAAATCATAGTGACATGTGACTGTTTAAGATGAACACATGTCACTCTAGTTACTAGACATCTAGCAATCACTGATATCTTCTACAAATCTTCATTATGTCTATCTAGTCTTATGCTAAGCCACAGTAACATAAAAATAATCAACTGTGCATTGGAAATGAAGTAATATAATAGTGGGTTTCCATCTTAATTACCTTTGATTTGATTTCCCATGTTTCCAGATCCATAATCTTTAGATTTGTAACCTCCAGACTTACAGGCCCTGTGAAAACATCATGGAAGAGCGTGATTTGGAATCGACCCCTTTGATTTCAGATCCACTATTAGGTTTTCTTTAGCTCTTTGGTAAGAACATACTCAGTGGATTTACACTGTAGAAACTGGTCTTCATTAGCATCAAGAAATGGTATTTTAAATCTCCACACCTTAAATACAGGGTTTGAATTTTGATTTTGTAAAATATTGCTAATTTGTATCTTGGCAGAAGAGTATTATGTTTAATACTTAGCATGCATGATAATAAGTGTGGTCATAATAATTCATGTTCACTTTCTTGGAATCTAAGTTTCAAATTTCAGGAAAGTCATCCTTCAATACTGGTGGGGAACTAGTTCTAGGACCCCAGCAGATCTCAAATTCCAAGGATGCTCAAGTCCCTTATATAAAATGGCATAGTATTTGCATATAAAAATGCATCCTCCCCCATACTATAAGTCATCTCTATATTGCTTATGATACCTAGTACAATGAAAATGTGAGGCAAACAGTGTTACATTGTTTAGAGAATAATGACAAAAAAAATCTGTACATGTTCAGTACAGATGCAAGTTTTAATTTTTCAATGATTTTTACCTGTGGTTGGTTGAATCCAAGGGTGTGGAACCTGTGAATACTGAGGGCTGACTGAATATGACATCTTGCATGTACATTATTTGACCTACCCATCATCTCCGCCAATGAGGAGGCAGTAGGTCTCAATTTCCTTCTCCAGGTGGACCTTGAGGTCCAGGAGCTGCTCATACTCCAGTTTCTGGCCCTCGGTCTCAGTCCTGACCTGGTGCAGTTGCTCTTCCAGGGCCCCAATCTGAGCCTGGATTTGCGCCAGCTGGGTGCAGTAGTTGCCTTCGGTCTCTGTCAAGGAGCACTCCAGGGACTGTTTCTGTTAGGGAACAAAAGACAGAACCTGAGATGGATAAATGAATATACAGAAATTCCTTCGATATGATTTTCTCTTCATTAATGTTATCTATAATTGTTTTGCATTTCACTTTAACACATAGTAACACTGACTCTAGATCACTGTTTCAATATAGTCAGATCTTTTTTTGGTGGAATAGACCTAAAGAGCTGGGTGGAAGAAGCATGCCTGGAATCCCAGCAACTTTAGGAGGCTGAGGCAGGAGGATCACAAGTCCAAAGATGGCCTCATCAACTTAGCCAGACGCTGTCTCAAAGTTAAAAAAATAAAATAAAAAGGACTGTGAATGTAGCTCAGTGATAAAGTGCCCTCGGGTTCAATTCCAAAAACAAAAACAAAACAAAAATGTAAAACCCTGGTGTTGCTCTTTTAGCTCTTACACACACACACACACACACACACACACACACACAGTACCATTCTTGTTTTAGGATAATGATAAGACTACATGTGTACATTTTTTTTTTTTTCCAACACGGGTATGGTCTTTAAAACCAACTGGTTCATATTTTAAAAGAACCTAGGAGTCGGTAAGAAACTGCTTTTCATACCGTGGCTAAGAGCGACTGCAGTTCGATTTCCAGGGTCTGGAGAGTGCGCTTCATTTCCGTCAGCTCGTTCCGGGCAGAGGTTGTGGCTCCCACATCCTCAGAGATCTGCTGCTGCAGAGAAGCGCTCTGAAATGACGGAAGCGAGGGAGCAAATCTTAGTTTTATGAACATCACAAAAATGCACAGTGATCGTTTTCTGGACAAAAGTTCACCTTTTCGTTGAACCAGGCCTCGGCGTCCCGGCGGTTCTGCTCAGCCAGGGCCTCGTACTCGGCTCGCATGTTGTTCAGCAGCACCGTGAGGTCCACCCCGGGGGCGGCGTTCATCTCCACGTTCACGTTGCCTCCCGCCGCGCACTGCAGAGCCTGCATTTCCTAGAGGCAGAGAAGTGTACAGCTCAGTTACGCAGGAACCTTATTAAAAGTCTAGGAGCTTGGCTTTGGAAGAGTTCTTAGAAGTGACTGGTGGTCCCCTCCCAGACTGTGTAGAAACCCTCCCTTCCCCCTTTCATATTTCCTGTCCATTGGGCTTACTCTCAATGAGGAGTCACTCACTATCACCTGCAGAAGCCTGTTTTATTCTAGAAGTGTCAATTGTTCAGGAGCTCCTAAAACTCCAACGCATCAGTTGTAGTTCTGCTACCCAGAACAAGTCTTAGTTCCTTTTCCACACGAAAACCCTTAAAATACTTAGAATGAGTTGTTCTCTTATTCCAGGTGTTTATAGTGTAAATGTCTCCACCTTTGCTGATGCTCTTCATTTCCCTCGAGACCCACTTCAATGTGTTCTCCACCAAGCTATGCCCTGAATATAGTGTGGACATGGTCCAAGGATTGAGTTTGAATAGTTCTGAACAACTGGAGTGGTTATAACTAACTGACTAACTAAGTAAATGTGTTTGTTTGTACATTACCCACCGCCCCCCCCCCCCCCAACAGGAAGGAAAGAATCCAAATGTCTGTTAAGCTGACATAGTGACATTATAGTGTCTTGTTGGTCAAATCCCTATGTAAATTCTGGTTCTGTCCTGTATTGGCTATGTAAATTTGTTAAAGTTGATTAACCTATCTAAGTTTCAATTTACTTATCTGAAAATTGAAGCTAATTAAAAACCCTTCTTTGGGTTGTTACAAAATAAGTAAACAAACTAATAATAATAAGACTTCATAACATTGCCTGGCATATAAATGTTGGCTATTATGATTACTATCACCATGGAAGCTGGGATCTTGTAGGCAAAGTCTGCATGCCATTCTGCCTGAGCCTGAGCTGCTAAGACTAGATGACAGGCATCATGTTAAGGGGGTGTAAATTGAAATCTCACAGATCATCCTGTGTCTCCTGGCAGAAACCCTCCTCCCCCCTCCTGGACAGGTCTGAATGACAGTAACTGAAGCTTTCTTTGTTCCCTGCAGCACCCCTCCCCTCCCCCAGGCTGTTCTGACATTCTTTCCTGTACTTTCCCTATCTCCATGGGTACTTTTCCTTCTTGAGGATTGAGCAAAAACTCCCCTCCCTCCCCAAGTTCAAGCAGTAAAAGAAAAGGATGTATAAATGGGGTCACCTATAAGTGAGGCATTAAAAAAGTTGATTGTTTCCAATTCATCCTAAATGTATTGAGTACCTATCATGGATTATAACCATACTTGAACTTTTATGGCCAAATGCTGCTACTCAATTAGTTATATTTACCAGACATCATGACTAACTAAGTAGCTTCTTCGCTTGAGCTTCTGCTTATTTAAGGATTTGGCTTGACTGAAGAAGTCTTTTGGCTATTTAAAAATATCAAATTTATTTTCAAAGGATAAAGAAATCTTGTCTTTTTTAGAAAACAGTGACTCTAAAAATAATCTCAAAGATGAAGCGGTTGCAGGATCTGATTTTGAAGTTCGCTTTCAAATTGAACATTTTGGAAGTATACTATATTCTTAGAAGTGAAAATTCTGGTCTAACAGTTCATCTGCAGGTTCATTTTTATAGCCATACCTATTAAGAATGTCTTCAGGTTGCCCGCACACACATACTTAATGTGTGTAGGCAGTTAATGTTTTAGTGTTTTAAGTCTGCCACTGTTATGTAGAAATTTAGATCTAGTTTTTTTTTAAAGATGTCTGTAAAGTATATTCATTTTATATAATTAAATATAATCGCCTAAAGTGGACTATTTTAACTTAGCTATAATTACATAGCCAAACATTGATCTTATAATCCTGATTGGTCTGGAAAACATGGTTCCTTTTTTCCCATGGGAAACTGGATGAAGAGTGTAAATCTATACGAATAATTTGATACTTACAAAGATGAGTCAGATCTCAGACCTGGCAATGGGTCTTCACCATCACCTTCTCATTTAAGAGGCGAGGTACATTATCTCCTGGCAGGTGGATAGTGTGTGTGTGTGGAGGAAGAGCAAAATGCAGATGTTTATCTCTTACCTCCTTATGGTTCTTCTTGAGGTAAGTCAACTCTTCACTCAGGGTTTCATACTGAATCTCCAGGTCAGTTCTGCACAGGGTTATTTCATCCAAAACTCTGCGTAACCCATTGACATCAGCCTCTACGCTCTGGTGAAGAGCCAGCTCATTTTCATACCTTAAAAAAAAATGTTAATGATTTTTCCAACTTGTATACATGGCTGGAGACAGTCACTGATCAAGGATAAAGGCTAGAATTTTAGAATTTCAAAGTGGCAAATCTGGCCACAAGAGACATCTTTGAAGGATTGCATAATAAATATTATTTTAAAAATTTTGGGGGTATTTGACAGAAAAGTAGATTATTGGGCACTAGTTTTCTGGCTGTTCACTAAGACTAGCCAAATTATACAAAAATGATAAACATTCTTAATTAAAATCCAAGTTGATTTTAAATCCAAGTGTTTCATAGTCCCGGTATATGAGTTGGTAATATTTTTTTTTTTTGGTGGAGGAATTAAAAATGAATTTTGATTTATTCTTTGCATTAATTGCCATGAATTCTTTTTGCTCTGTGAGTCTACTTACTTGAGTCTAAAATCATCAGCTGTCAGTCTGGCATTATCGATCTGTAGGACAGCATTAGCATTGCTGGTGGTGGAAGCAATGATCTAGAAAATGGGGAGTGTGACTTTTAAAAAGGCAATTTATCACAATGAAAACAAAAACAAAAACAAAAACTTAGTTTTAGATTAGGAAATAGAATCAAAATCAATACAATTAATAGAGAGTCAATAACATTTTTATCATAAGGATAACTAACCGAAAGCACTTATTTCCAACGCGAAATTGAAATTCCCTTTAAGAAATCACAAAAAAAGGGATGGTAAATGTTTTTCAGAATTTAAGAGAAAAGAAATTTAGAAATAAAAGTATTTACATGCGATGGCAAAATACAGTTTCTTACCTGATTTTTAAGATCCTCAATGATTGGGAAGTATCTACTGTAGTCGTGATCGAGACCCCGGCAAGAACCGGGCCCAAATTTCTCATACCAGCCCTTGATCTTCTGCTCCAGGTCGGCGTTGGCTTCCTCCAGAGCGCGCACGTTATCCAGGTAGGACGCCAGACGGTCGTTGAGGTTCTGCATGGTCACCTTCTCATTGCCAGACAGGAGGCCCCCCTCATTCATAGTGAAGCCAGCGCAGGGGTTGCCTGTCCCTGCGTTTCCTCCTGATGAACTGCCCCCAAAGGCGCAAGAGAAGCCACTTCCAATGCCTGGAATACCGCATGCATTCCCAGCCCCGAAACTGGCTGCCCCGCTGGAGAGCCTGAGCGATCCGGTGCTGGGACGGGTACCGGATCTCCTGGATCCGCTGGAAAGTCGAAGAGACATGATCTCAGGGCAGGCGTCACAGAACTGTATTCGTGAAAGCCAGAAAGGAGCGCCTTCTCACCTGGGCAGTTTGCCTTTATATAGACAATTCCCAAGGGGGTTCTGGATGGAATTCTGCCTACCTAGAATAAAACACAGCTTGCCAGCCTCAGCAAGTTAGCGTAATTGGATAATTTATTTTTTCCTAATTAGTAACTAACTTTGCTGGGCTCATTTTTGGAGGAGGGTAGTTGCCCTCAGGTTGGTGGTTATCTGAGAAATGGGTCTGGGTGGAGCAGTGTCCAGGTTCATTATTACATTTTAAATTGCTGGTGAGTCATTCCTCACTTCCATCCCAAGAAGATAAAGTGCATCTGTCCATTACAGGATAGAAATGCGGCATCCTGGTTTGGGGCCAAGGTGGGTTTTAACGTTTCTGATTTCTGCTTTTCTTTTAAGGTCTTTCCACATCAGTCGAGAATAGAACTGGAACCTTGACCTTCCCAGTCTGGTCCTTTCCTCAGGAGGTTCTGGTTTTTGTTTGTTTCTAATTCCTCCTGCCACTGTTTCTGATGGGATGTTAACTTCCATTTTGGCTGACGTGCCACATACTTTGTTGACACTTATGACGGGATAGTTGTCTTCTCTTATCCATTGTGGTAATTGGGAACACACCCCTAATTGCTGTTATGTTTTTGTGGGAGTTTGGAAGGACGATAACTTATTTCCTGACCTTGCACATTTTTGACGTGAACCTGGAAGGAACTATTTTATCTTTTTTTTTTTTTTTAAACTTCTTGAGGTTTATTTAGTTCAGGTGAAAGTCATAAGTAAGCTAACTCTTTACTGGGTGTGGATTCCCATGTATTTATTGGAAACCCTAAATATTACAAGAAATTTTTAAAATTGACAAGTAAAAATTTGTATATTTGTAGTGTAGAATGATGGTTCCACATACTTACACACTGTGGAATGGCTAAATCAAGCTAATTAACATATCCATTACCTCACATACTTAATATTTTTGTGGTGAGAACATTTAAAATGTACTCTTAGCAATTTTCAAGTATAAATCATTGTTATTAACTATAGTCATCTAATTGTACAACAGCTGTCCTGAATTTATTTCTCCTAACTGAAATTTTATATCCTTTGTCCAGTTTCTCCCCAATGCATTTTCCTGATGATTAGTGATATGGAGCATCTTTTCATGTGCCTGTTGACCATTTGTACGTCTTATGAGAAATGCTTTCAAATCAGGTTTTTTTTTTGTCATGGAATTGTTTGAATTCCTGATGGGTTTTGGGTGTTATACTTTTTTCAGATAAATGGCTTACAATATTTTCTCCCAGGATGTGGGTTATCTCTTCATTCTGTTAATTGTTTTCTTTGCTGTGAAGAAATTTTTAGTTTTATTCAATCCCATTTGTCTGTTTGTTGTTGTTGCCTGTGCTTTTAAGAGTCAGATAAAAAACTTTGTCCAGACCAATATCAAGGAGATTTCTCTCTGATTTCTTCTAGTAGTTTTACAGTTTCAGATCTTAGGTTCAAGTGTTTCATCCATGTCGAACTGATTTTTGTATATGGGGTGCAATAGGGGTCCAATTTCATTTATCTGCATGTAGCTATCCAGTTTTCCTAACATTATTTAATGAAGAGACCATCCTTTCTCTATTTTGTGTTCTTGACATTTACTGAGAATTGAACCCAGAGGTGTTTTACCACTGAGCTATATCTCCAGCCCATTTTTTAAACTTTTACTTTTGAGACAGGGGCTTGCTAAGTTACTTAGGGCCTTGCTAAATTGCTGAGGCTGGCCTTGAACTTGTCATCCTCCTGCTTCAGCCTCCCAAGCTGCTGGGATTACAGGTGAGCACCACCACTTCTGGTTTATCATCTTTTTTTTTTTTTTTAAATATACTGACTATAAATGCATGGATTTATTTGTGGGCTCCTGATTCTGTTCCCCAGGCCTATAGATATGTTTTTGTGTCAGTACCATGATATTTTGATTACTATAGGTTTGTAGTTAGATTTTGAAATTAGGTAAAGTGATACCTCTAATTTGATTCTTTTAGCTCACTATTCAGGATTTTTGGTGTTTCCAAAGGAATTGTAGGGTTGATTTTCTTTTCTATGTGAAAAATTGCACTGGAATTTTTAGAGAGATTGCAAAGATCACTTTGGCTTACATGAACATTTTAGCAATATTAACATTTTTAATTGGTGAACATGTAATATCATTCTATTTATTTTTATCTTCTTCAGTTTCTTTCATAATACTTTAGAGTTTTTAATGTAAAGGTCTTTTACCTCTTTGATTATATTCTTAATTTTTATGGTATTGGAAAAGGGGTTGTCTTCTTAATTTTTCAGACAGTTTGTAACTGTTGATTAAAAATGCTACTGATTTTTGTATCTTGAAAATTTATTGAATTCATTTTTTTTTAACCAAGAGTCTAGGGTTTTCTATCTTTAACATTATGTCATTTACAAAAAGACAGTTTGATTTCTTCCTTTCCAATTAGGATGCCTTTCATCTCTTTTTCTTGCCTAATTGCTCTGGCTAGGATCTCTAGTACTATGCTGAATAGAAGCAGTGAGAGTGGGCACATTTGTCTTGTTCCAGATCTTAGAGGAAAAGCTTCCATTGAGTATGATGTTATGGGCTTGTCACATAAGGCCTTTATTAATTTGAGATACACTCAGTCTATGCCTAATGTATTGAGAGTTTTTATCACAAAAGGATGTTGAATGTTATCACTGTGCTTTTTCTGTATTTATTGAAATGATCGTATGGTGTTTTCTTTGTCCATTCTGTTAATGCGGTGTAGCACATTTATCAATTTGCATATACTGAACCTTGCTTCCCAGGGATAAATCCCACTTGACCATGGTGAATATTTATTTTAATGTGCTGATAATTTCAGTAGTATTTTGGGAGGGAATGTTCACATCTATGTTCTTCATGGATATTGACCTATGATTTTCTTTTTATGTAGTATCTTTGGCTTTGGTGTCAGGGTAATGCTGGTATCATAAAATGAGTTTGAAAGTATTACCTTCTCTTTAGTTTTCTGGAAGAGTTTGGGAAGGCTTGGTATTAGTTCTTCATTAAATGTTTAGGAGAATTTAGATGTGAAACCCTCTGTAAATTTAGATGTGAAACCTCCTAGTCTTTTCTTTGATGGGAGACTATTTATTACTGATTAAATCTTCTTACTTTTTGGTTTGTTCAGATTTCTTATTTCTTCATCATTCAGTTTTGGTGTATTTTATGTTTCTAGGAGTTTTATGTATTTGTTTATCTATCCATATAAATATTTATGATTCTTTGTACTTCTGTGGTATCATTTATATCTCCCCTTTCTTTTCTGATTTTATTTAAGTATTTCCCTCTCTCTTCCTCTCTCTCTCTCTCTCTCCCCTAACTAGAGTTAGTCAATTTTGTTTACCTTTTCAAAAAAACCTACTTTTTGCTTCATTGATATTTTTAATTTTTATCTCTATTTAATTTATTTCTGCCCTGTTATTGGTTATCTTCTCCTATTAACTTTGGGCTTACTTTATTCTTCTTTTTCTAGCTCCTTGAGATATAAAGGTAGGCTGTTTATTTGAAACCTTTCTTCTTTAATGTTGGCCTTTATTTCTATAAACTTCCCTCTCAGAAAGGCTTATACTGCTACAGTTTAAGGCTATTTTTTAACTGTGAAATGGAGAAGATGGGAGACCTAAGGGAGGTACTACAGAACAAAACTGAAAAAATGAGATTGTACACATGTATGAATATGTAACAATGAACCCCACTAATATATATAACTATAACTTACCAATAAAAATTTAAAAAAATTTATAACTTACCAAAAAAAATTTAAAAATTTAAAAATCACGTCCCATGTTTTGTTATGCTGTGCTTCCATTTCCATTTATTTTAAGATCTTCAAAATGTTTCTTCAATCCCTTGATTATTCAGATGCATGTTCTTTAATTTTCATGTATTTGTGAATTTTCCAAAGTTCTTGTTATCTATTTCTGGTTTCCTATCATTGTGATCAGAAAAGAGACTTGTTATCATTTCAACCCTTTTTAAATTTATTTGTTTGGTGGCCTAACACATTCTCTATCCTGGAGAATGTTCTTTGTGTGCTTGAGAAGCTTGGGTGTTCCGCTTTTGTTGTAATGCTTTGTACATGTCCATTAGGTCCAATTGGTCTAAAGTACAGTGTAATCTCAATGTTTCCTTATGGATTTTCTGTCTGGATGATCTATCCATTGTCAAAAGTGGAATATGGAAATCTTCTTCTGTGTGAGTTGGCTTTTCATCACTGTCACCAAAATACCTGACAAGAACAACTTGGAGAAGAAGAAGTTTGTTGTGGCTCATGGTTTCAGAGGGTTAACCCATGGTTGGCTGAGTCCATTATTCTGGGGCCAAGGTGAGACAGAACATCATGGTGAGAGGGTATGGTAGAGGAAAGCTCATGGTGGCCAGGAATCAGAGAGAGGGAGAGAGAGAGAGAGAGAGAGAGAGAGAGAGAGAGAGAGAGAGAGATGGGGCGGGGGAAGGGGCCACAGGGGAAGATGGGCCCTTCTTGGACATGCTCCCTGTGACCCAGCTCTAGCTCCACCCCCTGGCCTACAGTTACCATCTTGTTAGTCCATTCATGGGTGGATGAAGTTATAGCTCTCATAACCCAGTGGTTTTACACCCAAACATTCCTGCATCACCACAGGAGCTTTTGAGGGACACCTCATGCCCCAAACCACAACAGCTACTGTGATAGTATTACTATCTTTTTTTCTTTTCAGATCTATAAATATTTGTTTTATATACTTAGGTGTTCAATGTTGAGTGCATATATATTCACAATTGTTATATCTTCTTAATAAATTTATAATGAGATAATGACCTTATACATTTCCTTTCATTATTTTTGATTTAAAGTCCATTTTGTCTGATATAGCATCCCTTACTCTTTTTGGTTCCATTTGTATAGAATATGGAATATCTTTTCCTATCCCTTCACTTCAGTCTATATGAATCATTAAAGATGAAGTGAGTATCTTATAGAGAGCATATGCTTTGGGCCTTATTTTTAAAATCCACTCACTCACTCTGTATCTTTTGATTAGAGGATTTAATCCATTTATAGGTAATTTTTTTTTAGTAGATACTTTTTTTTTTTTTTTTTTTCTCTTGATGTACTACTTTGTGATTTGTTGGCTTTATTTAGTGGTATGTTTTGATTCTTTTCTATCTTTTGTGTATCTACTATTGGTTTAACTTTGTGGTTTCCATGAGATTTACATAGAACATCTTATTATTATAACAGAGTATTTTATATTAATAACAAACAGCTTAACTTTGATCACATACAAAGCTCTACATCCTAACTGGCCCCCATTTGATGTTTTTGATATCAAAATTTGCATTTTTATGTTGCATATCCATTAACAAATTATTGTAGCTATAGTTATTTTAAAATTTTTCTGTGGTTGTAGATGGACAGAACGCCTTTATTTTATGTTTATTTTTATGTGGTGCTGAGGATCCAACCCAGTGTTTCACACATGTTAAGCAAGTGCTCTGCCACTGAGCTACAGCCCCAGCCAGTTATTTTTAATAGGTTTGTCTTTTAAGCTTCATATTACATATATATTTATATACCTCTATTATAATATTCTGAATTTGTATCTCTATTAGTGAGTTTTTAATTTTCATGTTGTTAATGAACCCTGTTGTTTCAACTTGAAGAACTTCTTTACCATTTGTAAGGCAGATCTAGAGATGATGATCCTGCTTAGCTTCTGTTAGCCTGAGAATGTCTTTATCTTTCCTTCATTTCTGAATTACAGCTTTTCTGGGAATAGTGTTTATGGCTGACAGTGTTTTTTCTTTCTTTAGCACTTTGAATACATCATTCAATTTCCTCTTGTCTTGCAAAGTTTCTATTGTGAAGTCTGCTGACAGCCTTATTAGGGTACCCTTGTATGTGATACATCTCTTATTTCTTGCTGTTTTCTTCTTTTTTGACTTTTGACAATTTGACTACAGTGTGCCTTGGAGTATTTTTCTCCAGATTGATCTTGCCTAGAGTCCTTTGAATTCCATGAATCTGTAGGTCATATGTCTCACTCAAGATTTTGAGAGTTTTCAGATCCCATTTCTTTAAATAATTTTTTAAAAATCTTTTTCTTTCACTACTTTCTTTTGAAATGCCCATAATTTGTATATTTGTATGCTTGGTGGTGTTACATAGGTCCTTATGCCTTCCTCACTCTTTTTCATTCTCTTTTATTTTTGTTCCTTGACTTTACTCATTTCATGTCTGTAGTAGGTAGCACGTAAGGCTTATATATGGAATATTGTTCCCATTAGAAAAAATTGTCCCACACTAGAAACAATTCCACAATGGAATGCATAATTTGTGGCAAAAATTTTAAAAGTGTTTCCAGGTTGTTGGTTAGGTAATGCTATTTAATATAGCTTAAATTTCTCTGTTTCTAGTTATTAATATGGTCAATACTTTTCCCAAATTTATGGACAATTTGGAATTCCTCTTAGAATGTTGAAGATATCAGTCCACTGTTGAGAAGTTGGTATGTATTCTCACTATCATTCACTTGAAGGGAATGATTTTTTCCCCCATATGACTGATTTTGAAGATCTCTTTGTTGCATTGTACCTTCATTATGATTTATTTATATGTGAACTTCCTTTTATATTGTCTTTAGTTTCGAAATGGGTGGTCTCAATTAAAGATATCCAATAAGAATTTTGAGATTTGTCAAGTATTGGTGACAGTCTTTTATCTTTAAAATGCATGTGTCTGTGTATATTTTTTTGTTTTTATTTTTTGCAAATGTTGACCATTTGGAAACAAGGAGAGGACCTAAATGTTTTCCATTTTAAGTAGAATGGTTGCTTATTAAAAGCATGTGTTTTGGAGTAACAGTTTATTCTTATATTAACTATAAATCCATCTTATGTAGATAGATATGTCTGTTTATCTGTATTAGTAGAAAAAAAGTGAACACAGAAAAATGGAAGTTAGTTGAATGATTCTTGGAAAGAAAAGCAACTCTATTGGGAGCAAGCAGGAATGACTAGTGTTAGTACTGGTAGTCCCGAGAGAAAGAGCGTCCAACACTGTGTTTGCAAGGTGGTAAGTTAGCCAAGGGTTTTGAGAGAGTGAGGGTGTGGCTTTAGTCCTCCTTTCTGGGACATAGAGTTCTTATGTGGCCCTAATATCCAGAATGAAAGAGTAATAAAACATAATGAGGGAAACTGTAGCCCAAGGGATGGGGCCATCCAATGACCAGGAGTTAATGTGAGGGCTGAGGAGGGAAGTGCAGGCAGAGGGACTGGAGGTGGGTAATGACTGAGAGGAGAAGAATATAAGCAGAGTGAAGACCCACTATACTAGAAGCCAAGCTCCTGGGTGTGACATTGATGATTATTCACACAAGATTCTGCCTGTTTGTGGTCCCTCTTTGGTGGCAATGGAATCTTAGTGTGAAAACAGAATGTGCTTCAGTGGAATTATTATGCTGATTTTGTTGTGTGCAGTGGGACTCTGGTCACCACGGGAGAGAAGGTGATCAGGATTTGAAACTGAGCTCTACCACATATCAGCTGCATAGGAATTTCCTTAAATTCCTGCGTGGGAAATTCCTTAAACTGGTTGAATATCGCTTTCCTCATATATATAAAGTGAAGATAAAACATTTAACACATGAGCTTTTATAAAGATTAAATGGGTTAATGATTGTAAAATGAGTTCAAGCACACTTAGTATAAAATATTGTCATTATAGTTCTGCAATCAAAAGCATTTCTAACCTGGGACCAGAGATTAGGGCTGTGATCTTTGTCATTTATCCTGTTATTTTTTTGAGGCAAATGTGACTGTGAAGTGAAGAACATGATTTCATTAGCATGTCTTTAGTATTGTCATGTGAAAATTAAAAAGAAGCATATTTCTTAAAAAACAAACAACTTGCGGTGGGTATGGTGGTGCACACCTATAATCCTAGTGGCTTGGAGGCTGAGGCAGGAGGATCATGAGTTCAAAGCCAGCCTCAGCAACTTAGTGAGGCCCTAAGCAACTGAGTGTGAACCTGTCTCTAATTAAAATATAAAAAAGGCTGGGGATGTGGCTCAGTGGTTAAGCATCCCTGGGTTCAATCCCTGATACAAAAAAAAAAAAAAACAACAACAAAAAACAAAACAAAAAAAAAACAAACCCAAACCAAAAAAATCCACAACCTTGCAAAGGAAAAATATTTTAATGAAATGTTCCCCCAAATCAAAATGAAACTAGGGACAGAGCAAGATTTTTCCCTTCTTTTAAAAAAGGGTGACATGAAAAAAACATGAGAAAAGTAGGAGAAGGAACCCAAATTTCAGTCCTTTTATTTTTAAGAAGTGAAAATTTCCATTTGGCCCATGGAATTTTGCTAAGGCAGCAATTTTCTTAAATGATTTTTTTTTTTTCTCATTATGATGCTTTAGAAGGTACTCGTTGCTCCATTGTAATGTTGCTTATCTTAGAAGATTTTTCTTCTATGGAGTGGACTCTCAGTGAAACGACATTGCCAAGTTGATCGAGTTCTTCAACCACCGTTTTGACAAACACTTCTTCTTTTGAGTCTAAAGGAAAATCAAAGTTCAGCGATCATTTTCAGCAGGTTGAAAAGTAGTCATAACAGGTATGCTTTCTAAATTTGGGGTTTTGCAGAGATGGGGTGTAGCTCAGTGGTAGAATGCTTGCTTAGCATGTGGGAGGCCCTGGGTTCAACCCCTAGCACTGGCCCCTCTTCCTCCAAAGTTGTTTTTTGCAAATTTGCAGAAAATTGAGATACTATGTTTAAAGTCTATATTTACCAAGATTTGAAACTATCTTTCTTATATTAACCACTGATTTTTAGAGCAATGGGTATCTAGATGCATAAAGGAAATATGGATTAAAAACCACCTAGTAACAGGCAGGTATAGGCACAGAGAAAGTAATGCCTTCTTTTAAATACTGACTTGTCCTATTTTTTTGTGGCTTAAAAGGACATTAATTTTTTAAATAAAATTAATAATAAACAAAGTAATTGTTTATCAAAGCATTTAAACAATGAAAAAGAATATGTTCAAGGTAAGGAAGATATTGAGGGATTCAGTCCTCATCCAGTAATTTCATAATTTGACCACATCTGTTCCACAAGGATATAAAATGCAAATATTAAGAATGATCATAATGACTCCTCATCTCTTCATTCACTAGAACGGAACTTAAACATAAATTTTATTTGGTTCACAAATAAGTGATTTATGTTATAAAACAGAAGAAATTTTAAAGAATTACATCAAGGAAAAAGCCTTCTGTACCTTTGATTTGATTCCCAGGTCTGCACCCTTTTGCTTTGTAACACGTGGGTGTGCTCCTTCTGTGAAGATAAGAATAAGTTAGTGCATTTTTTTCTTTCAAGAGGGAGATCATAAGTAATAGGGAATTGGGAACAAAAGTTCTGGAGTTCTGGTTTCAATAAGATGTAAATTTTTCTTATGTTTAAGGACATTAATTTTTTTGACATAGTGAAAAAAGAGAGTACGTGGATGTTGATGAGCAGAAATTTCCTCCTGACCAGACATTATCTTTTTCAACTCACAACGTGGGGACTCTGAGTCTCACTATGACTTTTCATCCACCTGGCTAACAAGCATGTTTGGAGCGCCTCCTGTGTACAAGGGGAAGTCGAGGTGCAATGGGGCTAAGAAAAGCGGTTTGCATGGCAGGAAATAAAGCATATTCATGTAAAAATTTGTAGCATTTCATGAAAGGTGCTGTTAAGTGAAAAATGAATGGTGTGAAAGGACTTTGTTCTGAGAAGGGAGCCATCACTGTTGGGTTCTTGTGAGAATAAGCTGAAGAGGGCTCACCCTGGCCTTCCAGAGTACATACGTTACCTACTCATGGGTGTGTCCATGGGCAAGCATTGATTACCAAGTACTTTTTTGTGTATAAGCCATTGTCAGAAGCACTTTACACAGCAAACTGAGGTGCTATGGCTAAGGATAGGCAACAGTATGGTTTTGAGCTGGGCATGGTGGTACAAGCCTGTTAATCCCAGCAACTCGGGAGGTTGAGGCAGGAGGATGGCAAGTTTGAGGTCAGCCTCAGGAATTTAGTGATTCTCTAAGCAACTTAGTGAGACCTTGTCTCAAAATAAAAAGGGCTGTGTATATAGCTCAGTGGTACAGTGTCCCTGGGTTCGGTCTCTAGTACCAAAGGGGAAAAAAAAAGATAAATAAAAAAAAAAATAAAAATAAAAAGTATGGTTTTGGTGTTATCACAGTTTTATCAATGAGGAAATTGTGATTTAAAGAGGTTCAACCACATGCTCAAATTTACCTAGTATGTGATTCTCAACCAAGGCTGTAATTCTAAAGCTATTTTGCTCTTGGACGATGAGCTTTGGTGCCTCTCCAGTTAGATTTTCCTAATCATCATTGCTCTGCTTTTATAGAGTGATGTAACAATAATATAGAGTGAGCTACTTATTATAAGAAATATGCTCAAACACTAAATTACAGAAAGCAATTTCTGTAGAATTTCCCCCTCAGATTGGAATATTGTAATTGTTAAATATTTCATATTTAATTGTTCTTTATCTTACCATACATAACAAAGACTTGACATACTAAGAATTTTGATTTTCAGACTTCTGTCTGTTTTAATTTCGCTTGGATGCGGCAGTGTCCATGAGGGAGACTGCATGTGTATGAATGGGCATGATCTTCAGCACGGGAAATTCCAGGATGCAATATGGCAATATTTCTCCAGGAAAAAAATACGGTTCCTGTGAGATTCATTTTCCCCCCACCATTCATATTTACCTTTCTTCTCCGTCTAGTAAGTTGCAATATGTCTCAATTTCTTTCTCCAAAAATACTTTGAGATCGAGAAGCCGTTCATGCTCCAGCTTCTGGCCTTCCGTTTCCGTTCGAATCTGCTGTAGCTGCTCCTCCATTGCCCCAATCTGATCCTGGATCTGCTGGAGCTGAACGCAGTAGTTTCCTTCTGTCTCAGCCAGGGAGCATTCATAGGAATGTTTCTGAAAGAGGAATGAAGTCAGGCTGGACTGTGTAAAAGCAAAGGGCATGCTCCTATTTTAAGCATTCTCAAGGTGGAAAGAAATGTTGGCACAAGACATCTAAGTCTTTTCAGCTGAAAATTGAAATTGGTTAGAAAAGATTTCTTCTCCATTGGAAAAAGCCTTTTTTTCAGGTTTTGGGGTGGATGGGTCAGAAGTAATGTTATTTTCATAAACTTGTATTTTTAATTATATGTACTTAGATACACTGTACTTGTGGTATAGATTCATATTTTTATATATGTGTTTTCTTGTACCTATGCACACACACACACACACACACACACACACACTTCTATGGTTTGAATATGGTTTAACTGTGTCCCCCAAGCATTTGTGTGTTGGAAGCTTAGTCCCAGTGCAGAGATGTTAAGAGGGGGTGGACCTTTAAGAGGTGGAGCTTATTGGCAAGTAATTAGGTCATCGAAGGTGCTGCTCTCAGGAGATACTGATATAGTTCCCATGGAACCCTATTTGGTTCTCATGAGAGGGTTGTGATAAAAGAATGAACTTGGCCTGTGATCTCTCCCTTTCACATGCACTCATTCCATGATGACATTGACCATGGTGTGTCACAGCAGGTGCTGTTTAGACTTTCAGCCTCTAAAAACCGTGAGCTAAGTGAGCCTCTTTTCTTTATAAAGCACCAGCCTCAGGTACGTTGTGAGAGCAATGGAAAAATGGGCTTACACACAAACATATTCAATTTAATGGCAATTCCTACATACCATAGCCGTAAGGGACTGAAGTTCTATTTCCAGGGTTTGTAGGTTGCGCTTCAGTTCTGTCAGCTCATTTCTAGCTGCTGTGGTTGCTCCTGCATCATCTGAAATCTGCTGTTGCAATGATGCACTCTGAAGAGGAATTGTCAGAAGAGTTAGTGGCTAGCTTGATTGTTCACTGAATAAGCCCTTCGCAGGTAACCTGCCATAGCTGTACCTTCTCATTAAACCAAGCCTCGATGTCTTTGCGGTTCTGTTCAGCCAGTTCCTCATACTCAGCCCTCATGTTGTTCAGCATAACAGTTAGGTCCACTCCTGGGGCTGCGTTCACCTCCACATTCACGTTGCCTCCTGATGCATGTTGCAGGACTCCCATTTCCTAGAAAGGGGTCAATATTAATATCTGAGGGAGGATTTTGACTGGTTTCCAAACCCTGCTTTGAAATGAAGAGTGGACTGTACATAGCAGCTCTGCAGGCTTCCTTACCTCCTCATGAGTTTTTTGGAGGTATGTCAGTTCCTCACCCAGGGTCTCACACTGAATCTCCAGGTCTGTTGTGTTCAGGGCCAGCTCCTCCAACACTCTGCGGAGACCGTTGGTGTCCGCCTCAACACTCTGGTGCAGGGCAAGCTCGTTTTCATACCTTAAAGTTCATGAAGGTGTTTGAGAATTGTAACCCTAGGCAGGTGCCAAATGCAACTTGTGAAGACACTTCATGTGCCCAAAGATGTGAGGTTCTGTACACACTTCTGAAGCTTTTTGCAAGAGCAAACTGTTAAAATACTTTAAGAGAACTACTGATGTATGAATATCATTTTGGAGGTGTTATTTCTTCAGGGTTAATTTTTTTGTCATCCAATGTGTTAGTTGAACAAAATATTGCTAGATTTAAAACATTATGATAGTTCTCTTTATAAGGGCATATTTAAGGTTCTTTTTATAAGGGCATATTTAATTTAGTTTCTTTACTGATCTAGTATGTCTGTCAATGTTTTAATATTAAGACATTTAGGTTTTAAAAACAAAAGAGGGGTTGGGGATATAGTTCAGTGGTAGAGTATTTGCTTAGCATAGGTGAAGCCATGGGTTCAACCCCCAGCACTGTAAAACACTCAAATAAGACATTTAAATAATCAGTAAGAGGGTTGGGGATGTAGCTCAGTGGTAGAGAGCTTGTCTAGCATGTGTGAGGTTCTGGGTTCAATTCCCAGTGAGTGTGGTGCTTGCATGCTCATGCGTTCTTTAATATAATTTTAGTATTTTTTTTCCTGGTACCGGGGATTGAACCCAGGGGTGCTTAACCACTGAACCACATCCTCAACCCTTTTTATTTTTTATTTAGAGACAGGGTCTCACTGAGTTGCTTAGGGCCTTGCTGAGGCTAACTTTGAACTTGCAATCCTCCTGCCTCAGCCTCTAGAGCTGTGCTGCCTGGCCTCAATTTTAGTGTTTTTACCTTTACAAAAAAAAAAAAAAAAAAAAATTAATCATTATCACCTACTTCAGTCTGAAGTCGTCAGCAGTCAGCCTGGCATTGTCATTTTGTATAATGATGCTGGCATTACTTGTGGTCACAGAAACAATCTAAATGGGTAGAATGTGCAGAATGTTAAGAACCCAAACTGAAAGAACCCTCCAGATTTCGGTGAGATTCAATAACTTCTTAACCTGTTAAGCATCTATTTTAGCATCACTTTTTTTCTATATTATAGAAATCTGAATTTTCTTTAGATAATAAATATCCAGAGCGTAAGAGCCAAACGAACACTTTTTATTACTGTTGGTAAAGGCATGAGTTAAATATAAAAAATGACAGTGATTACTCTATTTCAATACTATTGCTCTTTCATTATTTTAATTCTATAAATTTTCATTGTTGGACACTGCTTTTAGGACTTGGAATACACAATTAACAAATTCTACATCATATATATATATATATATATATATATTTTTTTTTTTTTTTTTTTTTTTTTTTTTTTTTTTTTTCTTTTTTTGAGGAGGGGTATCAGGGATTGAACTCAGGGGCACTTGACCCCTGAGCCACATCCCCAGCCCTGTTTTGTATTTTATTTAGAGACAGGGTCTCACTGAGTTGCTTAGCATCTCGCTTTTGCCTAGCTTTTGCTGAGGCTGGCTTTGAGCTTGTGATCCTCCTATCTCAGCCTTTCTAGCTGCTGGGATTACAGGCGTGCCCCCAGCGCTCGGCTCCCATACATTTTTAAAGCATGGTTTCTGTTTCCTTTACTTTAAGTTATGCCCCCTGGAAGTCTTTAAGGAAAGTATGCAAATTCATATTTCTTACCTGCTTTTTGAGGTCTTCAATGACTGACAAATATCTGCTGCAGTCATGATCAAGTCCCCGACAACAGCCAGGCCCATACTTCTCATACCAGCTCTCGATCTTCTGCTCTAGGTCTGCGTTCGCCTGCTCCAGGGCGTGCACGTGGTCCAGGTAAGAGGCCAGGCGGTCGTTGAGGTTCTGCATGGTTACCTTCTCATTCCCAGACAGAAGGCTGTACTCATTTCCAAGAAAACCAGTGCTAACGTGGCTTCCAGACCCTCCACCACCGTTGCAGAAGCTTCCTCCAGGAGAAACGCCCCCAAGCGTACCAGAAAAGCTGCTTCCTGCTCCCGAGGAACCAACACACACATTGTCAGCCACAAAGCTTGCCTCTCCACGGGACAGCCTGACAGAACCAGCTCGCGAGCAGGACCGCCTGGATCCACTAGACAATCGGAAAGACATGGCGACTGCACAGCCCAGCGACCCTTTCCCAGAGAGGAGCAAAGCTAGAATCCACCTTCCACAGAGGGTGGCTCCAGTGGCCTTTTATAGGATTCAGTGGTCATTTCGATCTCTCCTATGCCGATCTGTAATAAAATATAACTCGCATCCTAATTGTTGTTTTCCCTAACTGGGCTATTTTTAATAGTATCTAGTGGGTGGCAAGGTGCCCCAAGCATATTTTTTATATGTAAAAAAGGTGCCAGGTGGAGTGACACTAAATCATAGCCTCCAAGGGTTAGTAATACTAAATCACAGCTTCATAGATCACAGAAAAGAAAATCATCAGTTCTTTTCCAAAAGGTATAAAGGTACGTGTTTTTGACCTCTGGAATAGATTCCCCCCTCCCATCTAACAAAAATTGATCATTCACATGAGAAATGTCTACCGCTCTTGTCCTGCAAATGCATATGAAGTATCTCTGTTATTCACTCTTTATTGAGTGTTGTTAGAATCAGAGGCTCTCAGCATATAGTGATCTTTTGATAGTGGGAGTTTTCGAATTGATTTAAAAAAATATTGAAAAGATGGAATAATAGAAATCCTATAGTAATTTGCTTGTCAGTCGCACTGAAATTCACGAGTATGTGGTATTGGTAGAGAATTATTTGAATCACAATTTTTTTGGGGGGGGGTTTGGTCCAGGAGCAGAACATCAATTCAGTTAGCTTCTGAGTTTCCAAATTATTCACTTCCCTGCCTTAAAAATATTGCTTATTGCCTTTTAGTTCAAACTTATGTATTCAAAATATTATGCATTATTTGGAGACATGAACTTCCTGTAGATCTGTAGGGAAGGAAATACATGAAGTAGAGGGGTGTTTCCATCACTACCTAGGAGCCCCATAATCACAGTATGCAGATCTGAGATGAGTTCCATAGGGAAGCAGGCTCTTTCTTCTTTGCCTTGATGTCCTTGGGAAGTTAGCCACTCTTCTTGGGCTTCATTGCCCTGGGGGACAAATGAAAATAATAGCATTGAACAGTCTCAAATGAAGACTCCAATAATGAGCAGCTCCAATAATGAATGTCTATAAGACAGTCTGAAGGGCACAGACATTTTGCAAATGTTAATTATATTATTATAATAAAATGGACATGTCAACAGGGTCAGGTCTCTATCACTGACAATGGTACAAATTGAGTGCTTGATTGATGACAGGCTTAGTTTTTAAATAGTAATTTGTTTCCTGAATCAGAATTTTCTTCCTTTTTTTTTTAAAAAAGAGAAAGAATTTTTAATATTTTTATTTTAAGTATTAAAATTTATATTTTATATTAAAAGTTTAATTTTAATAAAAAATTTAATAATTTAATTTTAATTAAAATTTTATATTAAAATTTAAATATTTTTATTTTTCAGTTTTCGGTGGACACAACATCTTTATTTTATTTCATGTGGTGCTGAGGATCCAACCCAGCACCTCACACGCACATGCAAGGTGAGCGTGTTTCTGCTTGAGCCACATCCCCAGCCCTGAATCAGAATTTTCAATGTTATGAATATTGAACACTTTGAAAAATATCCAATGTTAATTGTCACTAAAAGATACGGAATGTTCAGTGAACTGGGATGCATGAGTTTTTCTTTTTTGGGGGGGGGGGGTTCCAGGGATTGAACCTAGGGATGCTTAAATATTGAGTCACATCCCCAGCCCTTTTAAATATTTTATTTAGAAACAGGGTCTCGCTGAGTTGCTTGGGGCCTCACTAAGTTGCTGAGGCTGACTTTGAACTCAGGAGTCTCCTGAGTCGCTGGGAGTACAGGCGTATGTCACTGTGCCTGGCCATGAATTTATTTTTACTACAAATGTCTAAATTAATACAAGACTATAATTCAAACTACTGGCTTATGTTTAGAATAGTGTATGATAGGAGATAGAGCTTAAATTCAGAGACTTATTGCTGATTTTCTTGTGGCCTGCTCAAATTTTAAAACTTTTGCTCATGTTTCCCATGAATAAAAATCATGACAAACAGAGTCTGTTGTCAGTGTATCAGTTTATAAGGCTTGAGCTTCTTCGATAAAAGGTGTTATGGGATTGCAAAGTATTATTAACGTAATCTGTTTATCTCAGGATAATTTACAAATACTAATTAACTTATCATCTTTTGTGAGACAAGTTAAGCATATATTATTAAGGCCATTTTGGAGATGAGTCGACTCTGAATCTACCATGGCAGCAGAGATCACAGAACACCCTCCATCACAGCAGGGATGGAATGAATAGCTCTTAACTCCTTGAAGGGTTGTTGCTATTTACTCATTGGGCAAGTCTTTTGAATTCTTTTGATCATAGACTTCCTCTAAGCAAATACTCCCTTGAAGGGTAGAGGATAGATTGAACCAATTCCCTGGGCCACTTTTATCTACATATATATTTTTTTCCCTGAGAGTGGACATTTTTTCATGGTAAGAAACCAGCATCCAGCAACAGATCATCATCATTTCTTGAAACTCTACTAGGTAATACAGTATTACATAATATGCATATCATAGGTATTCAAAGTGATTGAGTTGAATTCACCTGTAAGTTATGCTGTTAATGTCTCTTTATTTCCAAATTAAATTTTTCATTATGTTATCTTACTGTAAAGATCATAGGCCAATTTCTCTCTTGAAAAATTTATTTAGCTTTAAGTATGCTGTTGTTTAAATTTTACATTCTACATGCCTGTTAATTAAGTTTAGTTTAGCATTTTTCTTGAACATGAATGAGGTTTCTTTTGATACTAGAGTCCTTGTGTTTTTCTGAGAATCATATTCTAGTGTGCTAATTCCTCCCACAAAATGGCTCCCCTGGTTTGGGAAGAATTGATAATAATTGATAAAGCAGTATTTACTGTGTGTAAGACACTGTTCCAAACATCATTTAATCCTCACAGAATCCCTATGAGGTAAAGATTATGATCATCCTCATTCTACAGGTAAGGAAATACCTCCAGTTACTAGCTCTGTGACCCTGGACAAATTACTCAACCATTCTCTGCCTCAGTTTCCTTACCCATAAAATTCTCTCAATTCTTTCTCCCAAATTGATGCTAGTAGAGCTTATTCTCTGGATTGTGATGAGTTGGTGGTCAGACATCTCAAATACTAAAGAGATCTGAGCTAAGTACTTAAAATTAAAAATAAAATTATGAAGACAAATTTTTTAGAGCCTTTTTAGGTTCACAGCAAAATTGAGAGGAAGGTACAGAGATTTCCCATATACTCCCTGCCCCCACTCATGCACCCTCCTTCCTTGTCTACATTCCATACCAGGGAGGTAGTACATTTATTCCAATGGTGAACGTACATTGATTGACACATTATAATCACCCAGAGTCCAGAGTTTACACTGGATGCACTCCTGAGGTTGTACATCCTGTGAACTCGGAAAATTGTATAATGACATACGTCTCTTTTATGGTACTATATAGAGTATTTTCACTTTCCTAAAAATCCTCTTACTCCACCTATTTATCCCCTACCCCACCACTCCTAACCCCACCTCCACCTAAACCCTGACAACCAAGGATCTGTTTACTGTCTCCATAGTTTTGCCTTTTTTAGAATGTCATATTGTTGTAATCATAAAGTACATAACCTTTTCTGATTGTCTTCATTTAATAATATAGATTTAAATTTCCTCTGTCTTTTTTCATGGTCATCTAGATAGCTCATTTATATTTAGCACTGAATAAAATTCTATGGTCTGGATCTACCACAGTTTCTCCATTCACCTACTGAATGACATCTTGGTTGCATCCAAGTTTTGGAAATTAATAAATAAATCTACTATAAGGATCCATTTTCTGGTTCTCAGGACCTGAGAAGCAGGTTGTTTCTGCTGCGTGTCAACATGTGGGAGAGAAATCCTCTTACTCAAATAAACCTATGAGAATTTTTCTGCTGAGTTTATACCTCCTGTGCCTTTGTGAGACCTTAGACTACAGGCTAGAGAATAGTTTCATTGATGATAAATGCCAAATATCATTCATTTACAGTTAAGTTTATCTTGAGAGACACATCACTCTGCATCTTGGATGGCAAAAACTGGATAGAGTACTTGTGAATGCCCACCCTTATGGTGGAGCGGTGGAGACTGCAACTTAGGACATCTACTGGAATTCACGTACACTGCTCCCCACCTCTCACTCTTTCCCCTTCTTCCTCCAAAACGAACCATGGAGAGCTGTTCCTTTATGTTTAGGATGTTTGTGATTCTTTAATTCCTTATTTCCACTTCCATGAGCATGTAGAACCAGGGACTGGAGTTGTTATTAAAATAGTTACTATTTTATGCTCGCTACCCGACACTTAGTGAGTGCTCAGTGATATTTATTGAAGAATGGAAGGATGAAAAAGTGTTACGGAAATGGGAACAAGACTCCCACCAGTCTATATGTTAAACTTACTTCTAACTTGTGAAGACCAGTGCCTTAAACAGAAGAAATTAAAGACAATGTTCAGCTCCCATGGGAGGGTATATTTAAAATACAAAGATTGATCAGAACCAGAACGGATGACTTGCAACAGGAAGAACTTTTATTGAAGCACCACCAAAGAGAAAGCTGAAGACGTGTTACTACTCTACGGAGAGTCTGTCTTAATTCACTGGAGGAAAAGCAGAAAAATGAGAAGGCCCTCATTTAGGAAACGAGTTTCGACTTGGTCTTTTAATTTCAGGGCCATTCTGTTTTTGGGGTGCTGGAGTTCAGGAAGGCACCCTCTGTTCACTCTTGTTGTTGGGTTTAGTGGATTTCTCTTCTATGGTGTGAACTCTGGATGAGAGAATTTTGCCACGAAGATCTAGTTCTTCGACGACTGTTTTCACGATGGCAGTTTTAGATGAATCTAAAATGACATATATGAATTTATTAAATTCATAAATGGGAAATCATTCATCATTTAAAACATCCAAAAAAATTCGAAGCCTTCATGCAGCTTTTGTTTACCTTTTATTTGACTTCCTGG